TCCTGCGCGCCCTCCACACAGCACTCCATTTTTTCCATTTGTTGCCACTGTTTAAAATATGCAAGATTTCAGATTTTTAAAAAATCTGGATTTCTGGCTTCTTTTAAATCATCATAAGACCTAGACTTGCAAGAGTAAGACTAGCACCCCCAAGTCAGTGTGTAGAAGTGGGGTGGGTGGCGGTTGATGCCCAGGACTGACGCCCTCGCCAAACCCTCTGGCCACCAGCTCTGTGCTGGCTTCATCGTGGGGGCGTTGACTGGTCCCAGAAGACATGTGTGCTGGAGTACAAGCTAGGCACCATGCCCAACTTGCCTCCCTCCACCCTACCTATGCTGGAGATTTCCAGGACAGAAAAATTTCCAGAATATAGAGACTCCATAAAGAAGCTTCTGCTCCTGTCCCCCTTCACCACCCTCTCTGCCACTCCCCACCCCCAAAAAAAACCCAAGTTGCCCTCCAAGAGTCATATCTTTTGTGGAACCTGAAGAATGGAGGAAGCTTCAGGGCAGCTCTGGCTTCAGGATAACCCCTCTGTGGGCTGGAATGAGAGGTGGAGACCACAGACTCAACCAGAGTCAGAAAGAGTGTCTGGGGGAAGAAGAGAAGATGCCACCCTCCCCTCACCCTCCCACCCTCCGTCTCCCTCAACTCTGGGGAGGGCACTTATCATGGGCCACCAACCAGAGGGAGCCATGGCAGAACCTGTGGTCACTTCACCACGAAGTTTGGCACACAGGTTCCCAGTGGAAAGAACATTACCAAGGGACCTAGCCTCTGCCACGTGTGTTTGTGTGTGGTCCTGGGCCAGACCCTGGTGCGCGCAGGGCCACTGTTTTCTCATTTATCAATAAAGTGCTTAAGATGACTAAGTTTCAAATGGCTTTTAGCAGTGAACTATTCTTTTCAAATTGATTTCTCTACCAATCCCCAGTAAACAAAACAGACACAGAAGATGAGTGGATATCTAAAGCTGGAGGTGAGAATGGGGAGTGAGTGCAAATGAGCAGGAGGGATATTTTGGGAGGATAGACGTGTTCCAAAATTAGACTGTGGTGATGGTTGTTCAACTCTGTGGAAATACACTAACATTCACTGAATTGTATGTTTTAAATGAGTCACATTTATGCTGTGTAGCATATATCAATAAAACTTGTATACCTTAAACTTACACAGTGTTGTATGTCAGTTATATTTCAGTAAAACCAGAAGAAAAAGTGGTTTAAAAAAAAAAGAGGATGAAAAGGTAACCTACAGATTGGGAGAAAATATTTGCAAACCACATATCTTACAAAGGACCTGTATCTGGGATATATATCATAAAAAACTCTCAAAACTCAACAGTAAAAAAGTAATTCAAGTAGAAAAAAACATGAACAGACATTTCACCAAAGAAGATATACAGATGGCAAATAAACACATTAAAAAGATGTTCGATATCATTATGGAAGTGCCAATTAATTCCACAATGAGATATGGTTAAAATAAAAAGTGATAACCCAAATGCTGACAATGATGTGGAGAAAGTGGATTATTCATTCACTCCTAGTGGGGATGTACATGGGCTTCCCTGGTGGCTCAGTGGTAAAGAATCCGCCTGCAATGCAGAAGACTCAGGATATGCAGGTTTGATCCCTGGGTCAGGAAGATCATCTGGAGGAGGGCACAGCAACCCACTCCAGTATTCTTGCCTGGAGAATCCCATGGAGAGAGGAGCCTGGCAGGCTACAGTCTATAGTATCGCAAAGAGTCAGACACGACTGAGCGCATTGGGGATGTATAATGACAGGGCTATCCTAGAAGAGTATGGCAGATCCTTACAAAACTAAATATGCACTTTACCATACAACCATGGATTACTACTAGGTGATAAAAAAGAATAAACTATTGATTTATGCAATTCATTAAATAGTTCTCAAGAGAATTATGCAAAGTAAAAAAAAATAGATCAGATTATACAGTTTCCATTTATATATATTTGAAACTAGAAATTACATGGGAGTTCCCTGGTGATTCATTGGTTAAGAATCTACCTGCCAATGCAGGGGACATGGGCTCCATTCCTGGTCCGGGAAGTAATATCCCACATACCTCAGGTCAACTAAGCCTGTGCCCCATAGCTGAACCCAAGCGGCAATGTCGATCTCCTGTCGGGATACTGTGCTATAGATATACAAGTCTGTACCACTGAAGGAAATTTGGTAAAAAGTATGTATAGTGTCTGTCTGTATCAGTTCTTACAACTGCATGTGAATCTACAATTATAAATTAAAAAGTCAAAGTTTAAAATCTTAATATATATGATCATAGCTAAACACAAATCAAGAAATGTAGTAAACACAAGAAAGTTATAAAAAATAAATGACTTAAACAACTTTATCACGGATATTCATCAATTTTTTTTATCACTTTTTGGATATGTGGATGTACCACTTTCATTTAGAAACATGAGTCGGTTAGATAAAACACAAGCTGAGTTTCAGAGGTATTACTGGGGCAAGAGACAGTGACCCCAGAGTTCAGCCCGGGACTGAACTCCCTCCTCCGTAAGGCCCACAGTCTTTCCCTTGAGAGCCTTTTATAAACCCAAGAGCACTTCCTGGTGGAGTGGTGTGACATCACCATGAACCCATGGCAAGGGCTCCGGAATCTTGGAAGCCATGGGGTCCCGAACGCTTGGCTACGGCCCACGGTCTTCCCCCGCTGCTGTAAGCCTGCATGTTGAGTGGGGGTGGCGGCCTAGGTCTTGAGGGAGCCTTGTGGTGTCTCCTCAGGGTGGGCATCACTCTTTTCTGTACTAAGGTGAATCTTGGGTCCTGAACTATGTCCTTCCAAACTGTCACAGGGGATATGGAAGGGGTCACCTGTGAATTTCCAGATGAGTGACTGGGATGCAGTAGAAATACAAATAGGTCGCGAGTTTTGGGGGAAGAGAACCAGAGGGGATGTGGGTAAGAGGAGAACAAAATGAGTCTGGGAGAAGGGGGAGAGAAAGTAAAGCGCTTTCTACAGAGAACTCGCCCTTGAGAACCCTGGGCACATGCGGACACCACTCAGGGGGACACTACCCTCGGAGGCCAGGCAGCGGGACTTCTGGAGGGAGCTGTCTCAGTCAGCTTGCAGGGCGGCTTCAGACGGGCCCGGGCCACTTTGCTCAGACTTTCGCCAGGCCCGATCGCCCATGGTTTTATAGTGGTTCACAGGGCTTCCCAGGTGGCCAGGTGGCCAATGCAGGAGATGCCAGAGGTGGGGATTTGATCCCCGGCTCCAAAAGATCCCCTGGAAAAGAAAAAGGCAACCCACCCCAGTGTTCTTGTCTGGAAAACTCCATGGACAGCGGAGCCTGGCGGGCTACAGTCCCTGGGTTTGCAAAGAATTAAACACAACTGAGCATGCACACACAGGTAGAGCTGATAACATAAGCAGGTAAGGCGGCCCAGTTCGACCCTAATGGAAATGGGACTGAGGTCAATAGTGGCTGCCACAAGCCATTCTTCCCTTGAACACTGGTCAGACACGAGGTTTTTTTTTTAATATTTATCCATTTGTTTATTTGGCTGTAGTGGGTCTTAGTTGGGATCTAGTTTCCTGACAAGATGGAACTAGAGGCCCCTGCATTGGGAGTGTGGAGTCTGAGCCAATGGACCATCAGGGAAGTCCTAGACATAAGTTCCAATCCCAAGTCCAAAGAGCTCTAGCCACAGTCAGGGAGCAAACCTGAGGCAAATCGCATCATTGCCTCCTCACCTGTAAACAGGCGAGCTATACAGTTTACCTCGTGCCTCACTATAAGTGATGAATGAGGTGATTCCCAATCACTAAGAAAATCTGGTCTACTAGGCAGTCAATAAATCTTAGCTACAGTTATTGCTATTTTAAATATTATTTGGTCTCACAATAAGCAAGTTAAGCAGAAAGAAGTGGCCTGGTCAAAGTCAAGTTGGTTTCTTTCCTTTTTTTTTTTTGGTGCCCAGAAAAGACAGGGCCTCTCTGAGCCCCTCACTGGCCGCCTCGGAGTCCGCCCCAAGCCAACAGGACTCGGCAAAGAAAAGCGTGCGAATGGAAGGGAAGGCAGGTGTGTGTGCTCATTTGCCCGCCTCTAACCCGTTTCTGAATGAAGGTGACAGATCGCCGTGGCTCCAGCCCCAGTTCTTCCCTGAACTCTCGAGTGTGGGTCTGCCGGGTGCGGGAAGGAGACAGGAGGCCACGCTCTTGTTCACTTTTGTAGTTACTAAAGACATCAATAACCAGATAATTTCACATCTATCTCCATAGAGGTGTCCCCCAAGCAGAAAGAGGCCCAGGAGCACAGGACTTCCCTGGCAAAGAAAGGTGATTATTTACTCAATTCCTACCCTCCTTTATGAGGTTCTGAGGTGGTTTAGTGGGTACAGAATTCACCAGCAGTGCAGGAGACACAGGAGATGTGGGTTTGATCCCTGGGTCAGGAAGATCCCCTGGAGGAGGGCAAGGCAACCCACTCCAGTATTCTTGCCTGGAGAATCCCATGGTCAGAGGAGCCCAGCAGGCTACAGCTCATGGGATCACAAAGAGTCGAACCCAGCTGAAACAACTGAGCACGCACGCACGCACACACCCTCCTTCACAGACAAGTGCAAAGGGGGTGACGGTCGCTCTTATTCTGCAGATACCACATGCAAAGACCTCAAGGTGAGCAAAGCGAAAAGGAAAGAGTATTTCCCAGGTGGGCCCCCCACCCTGAGCACACAGGGTCCTTCCTCTTTCCAGCAGCTGCCCGGAACGGGAGCCCTCTGGCCTCCAGTCCTGCCCCTCTGGAGGTTGGTCCTGAGCAGAGAACCAGGAAGATGAGAGGCCGCAAGAGGAAGAAACTAACGGGTGTCAAGGCAGGTATGTGTCCTTGGCTTCCCTAGCCCTGCACAAGGCATCAGTTACTGCTGAGTAACCCGTCATCCTGCCCTCGTGGCGGATCTTGGGTGGCAGGGTGCAGTCTTCAGGGTGAGCTAAAGGGACGGATTCAGGACCTCCCAGGTGGGTCAGGTCCTCACTCACAGTCTTGTTCCTGCAGCAGCCCACAAGAGCAGCTCCCTGGCCTCCCACCCCAGCCCCTCAGACGCTGTCTCCGAGTTGAAGTCCTGGAGTAAGAGGGAGCAGAGGAGGAACACATGGACTGTCAATCACATCGAGGGAACAAAACTCAGGATGAACAAGAGGAGAAGACCCAGCTATCGTCCAGAAGACCAAGAAGCCTTCTACCGACTTCTGGGTGTGTGTTCTGAGCCAGCGCAGGGTCAGGTCTCCTCCACACCAAGGGTGCCAGGGGCCCAGGGATCATGGCCGAGCGCCCCCTGGGGCTTGCAGCTGTGCGGTATCCCAGTGGTGCAGAGGCAGATCACCAGGCTTTCATGTTCTGCTTCTGCTGTGGTGTTGATGGGTTTTCCTCTGAGACAAGTTCTTGGAGGGAGGAGGGAAAAAGGCTATGATCAATGATCAAGACGTTTTAGGACAAATCAAGGGGGAAATTCCCTGCCCATATTTATTCCATCCAGTTAAGGTTTTAGAGATCAGTGATGAAAGGACCAACTAGATTTTGCTGTCTTGATGGTCAAAGTGGGAGAAGGCCCAGAATAATTACAAAAGTAAGTAATTTGCCAGTGACAAATGCAGAGAAGCAAAATTCTGGAAAGGTAATGACACCTGAATATTCATTGGCAGGACTGATGCTGAAGCTCCAGTACTTTGGCCACCTGATGTGAAGAGTTGACTCAGAAAAGACCAACAACATCAATGACACCTAGGGGCTTCCCAGGTGGCACTAGTGGTAAAGAACCTATCTGCCAATGTAGGAGGCATAAGAGACTCAGGTTCAAACCCTGGGTTGGGAAGATCCCCTGGAGGAGGGCATGGCAACCCACTCCAGTACTCTTACCTGGAGAATCTCATGGACAGAGGGGCCTGGCAGGCTAGTCCATAGCGTTGCAAAGACTTGGACAGAACTGAAGGGACTTAACACACAGCACAATGGCACCTAGAGGTGGGCTGTGGACAAGAGTAGGAGCTTTGCAACACAGATACTCAGGGAAGGTCTGCAGAGGGGACGTCACGACCTGAGGCAGGCCCCAGTGTGGTAGGTCGGGGATGAGACAGAAATGACACTGTCCACTAGCTGCATGCAGTTACTCAAGTTTAACACTGAATATTTAAACTTCTGAAACTCAGTTCCTGGTTCTCACCAGCCACATTTCATATGCTCAGTAGCCACCTATGGCTAACACTACCTTTTTTTTTTTTTTTTTTTGCTGCACTGGGTGTTCACTGCTGCATTCAGGCTTTTTGCCGTTTCTGTGAGCAGGCTTCTCACTGCGGGGGCTTCTCTTGTTGCAGAGCACAGTCCCAGTGCCCAGGCTTCAGTAGTTGCAGCACATGGGCTTAGTTGCATCACGGCATGTGGAATCCACCCTCCCAGACCAGGGGTCAGACTCATGTCCGCTGCATCGGCAGGCAGATTCCTATCCGCTACACCACCAGGGAAGTCCTAACAGCCACCACGCTGGATAGAAAGATCTAGACCATTTTCATCATCACAGAGCTGGGAGCCAGGCTTTCGGCTGCTCCCTGTGTCAGGGAGGGCAAAATGATCCATGATCCCTCCATTCTCCCATCTGCGCAAATGTCATTGTCCAGGGTAAGGAGTGAAGAACAAGGAGGATCTGATATTCTCAGGTCACCACTGGAAAATGGTGACCTCCAAGGGACGACAACTGTAGCCCAACCATGAGCCTGCTGGGGGCAGGTGAGGTCAGGTTATTATCTGCAGGAAGTGGCAGAACCCAGGAGAAAGAGGGCAGGATGCCCAGCGCCCCCCACCACAGCTTGGGGGTGGATATGAACACCCCACCACCCACACAGGGTGCTTGGCTATCAGATGGGGCAGGAAAGCCTTGCATAGTGTGATGAAGTGACAAGGAATGTGGTGCCCAGAGGCCCAAGACCATATCCAAGCTTTGGCTCCAGGAATACTATGTTAAAACTTTGAGAACCAGGTTTGTATCTCTTCATGAAGCACACTTATCAACTCCCATGTGTTGAAGATTAAAGAACAACAGCAAACTCGGAGCCTGAGACCCACTCTCCCTGTGTCAATGGAAAAAACCGCTTTGTCACTCTTGTTAAAGCTCTGAGCCTCCCAGTGGGGAAGAGTTGCCTGCACTCCCTGAAACAGAGGAAGGGGGAGAGGTTTCCTGTCCTCCTCCTCCCTGTGAGCTGAAATCCCACAGCCCCAGACTCGCTGCTCCCAGGCCCTCACGAGAGCTCCCTTCCTTTGCAGAGGATCCCGTTATCCAGAGCTTCTTGGAAGCTGACATTTTCCTGAAGGTGTCTGACAAGGTACTCACAGCGCTAACATGAGGAGGGACTGCAGGGCCACCACCCCATGAGGGCAGGGACAGAGGACAAGGCGTCAGCCTGGGCAGAAGCCCTGGAGAGACCCACCCCTGGTGCCAGCAAGGAAGGCAGGACACACACAGTGCCCTGCACCGGCGCTGAGCATCTCCTCCCTGGCCTCCCGTTGTTGCCTCGTCTCCACGTGTCAAAGGGCCAGGAGACCCTCAGCAAGGCCCACCCTGGGAGGCTCTCCCACCTGGATGGGGGTGGGGCACACGGCCCATTCAGAACGCTCTCCCTGCCATCCAGCCCTGGCCGCCCCCCGCCCCACCGCTGTCTGTCTCCATGCAGTACCTGCTGTCCATGGTGGTGGAGTACTTCGGCCGTGTGGGGCTGCCCGGTCACCTCTACAACAGGATCCACTTCTTCCTGGCCCTGTGAGCACCGCCCGAGGGCCCCCAGTGCTGGTTCAAGGCATTCAAGGGATCACAGGGTCAGAGGAGGGGAAGGCAGTCAGTCAGATCCTGGGGTAAGGAATGTAGTCAGGAGACACCGCGCGCTGCCTGAAGACTGACTGACCCAAGGTGGAACGCCCCGGGGGAATGACGGCAGGCAGAGCCGTGCCCTGGGCCAGACAGGCTTAGTGCTGAGTGCTGTCTGCATCCAGGTGCCCCAGCCGATGGGGCTCCCCTGGACCCCAGGCCTGGGTACTCTCTCCCGGACACTGGCTCCTGCGGGGTGACCTCGGCAGCCTCCCCACTGCCCCCCTTGCCTTGAGGCTGGGGGTCCTTGCGGGGCCAAGTCCAGCCTGCCCTCTTTCCTGGTGGTAGCTACATTGCCTCCGACATGGAGGAAGACAACCCCATGTCCAAGCGGAGCATCTTCCAGTTCCTGCTGGGCAGGGAGCACTGGCCAGACCTCTACAAGGAGTTCCTCAAGTTGAAGGTGGAATTCTTCCATGCAATGGGGCACCGAGCCTGGGTCACCCCCGAGTTGTGCGAGGAGGTCTGTCTGGGATGAGGGCTGGGGGCCACACCCCAGAGGTCGGGGCAGGGGGGTACTGGGCCCTTCTTCAGGGGGCTTACCCTGCTGTGCTTCCCTTTTAGATCCAGGCTCAGAACCCACATCACTGGGTCTGGAGTCGGGCGCGCCAATGCGCCCCCTAGGTTCCCAGGGAAATGGAGTGGGGAGTGCAGCTGGTCCAAGTGAGTACCAGGCTTCCTGGTGGGAACAACGCCACCCCCTACGCCCTTGCAGTCACCTCCCGGGCTGGTGGGCACAGGGAGGAAGTGCCACTGCGTCCCTGGATGCAGGATTAGCCTAGTAAGCGCTCTGAGAACTCCCAGGGAACAGAAAGTAATTACTGTGTTTATATTAAAATTCTCCCAACGGGTTCCATTACAGAACCATGAACTATGCTGTACAAGGTTCCAATTTGCATATCAATCTTTTTTTCTTTTTTTTTTTAGGAAAACTCCTGAAAATGCTGATCTGTCATGAAAAGCTCTGCAGGGTTTTGATCTGAGTTGAAATTTTTAAATATAAATACATGAAAAACACTGAGGTCATCCTTTCTGGAAAAGGAGCTATTACCCTGGTGGCTCTTGGGGGGGAAAAAAAAGAGAAAGATTAATTCCAGCATGTCACCGAAAGTTCTGTGTGCTTTGCTCCCTGGGCTGGGTCCCTGAAGGATGTGGCAGGGTCTATCCTCACAAGGATGGAAGGAGCTCCTAGAGCTCTCTGGTCTCTGAACAAATAAGCTCACTGGAAAATAAAGCAGCACACATGTGGAGCTGACAGAGGACAGGTGCAGAGACTCAGCACCTGACAAGCATCACACTCTTCCTTTGCCTTCAATGTCGTTTTTATGTGTGGATTTAGTTTAAGTGAAGGGAGACCTTCCATGAAAGGCATGAGGAACCCTCCACCTGGGCTGGAACAATCGTGTGACCTGAGCCCCTCTGTCTCACTGCAGGGCATGACAGGGCACACTCTGATCCCAGGAGAAAGAAAAGGAGACGAGAGCCGGGTGGGTGTGTTCTGAGATAAATCGAGTTTGGTATCAAGTCCCATTCAGCCTCAGTGTTTTATCTGACAACCAAGAATATGTCAGGACCCACACTCCTACCATACATATCAGGAGTCTCAAATTCCAAAGAAAACAGCATTTTTACCACAATAATAAAAAAAAAAGAACAGCAGTCACCGGGGCCCCTCTTGGGTTGGGTCTGGCCATAAAAACTACAAGGGTGACGATGATTCTCCCAGAGGCCATCCTCTGCACACTTGGAGCTGTGGTCCTGACAGCCTCTTCACTAGGGGGCCTGCCACCCACCCTGACCCCACTCTCTCTCTCTCCTCCCCCCCGCCCCCGCCCCCAGGGGCCTCCTCCCCTGGCCCCGGGCAGCCTCAGACAGCCAGAAAGCACTGGATGGGCCTCCAGCTCTCCGCAGGCCTATGGAGCATTGCGAACTGAACCTGCGGGGCCAAACCAGCCAGTGGTGCGATGGCCCCTGGCCTCCCAGTGGCTGTCGGCCAACAAGGCCCTGAGTCTGAGGGCCCTGGAAGGGCTGCGCAGTAACATGGAGGGGCCCCCAAGGGAGCCGAGACCAGAGCAGGCGCCTCCACGGAGACCGAGGGCGGGCAGAGGGAGAAGGGCCAGAAAGTGCAGCAGGAGGCCTGCACCGCCAGGAAGAACCTGAAGAGCCCAAAGAAACGAGCAGGTGATGAGGAAAAGAGGTGGAGGCATCAGGAGAGAAACACAGGAGCAAAAAGGACAAGCGAGGACACCCGAAGCCACCTGCCAGAGAGCGGCCTTACCCAGGGAGGGGACACGCCAGCTGAAGGACGGAGGGCAGATGCGGAGCACACGGGCGGGTGGATCCGAGGCTGACACAGAGCGGGAACAGAAGGGGGGCTCAGCAGTGAAGAGCCCTTCTGCCAACGCAGGAGACAAGGGCTCAGTACCTGGGTCGGGAAGATTCCCCTGGAGAAGGAAATGGCAGCCCACTAAGTATTCTTGCCAGGGAAACCCCATGGATGAGGAGCCTGGCAGGCTACAGCCCATGGGGCTGCAAAGAGTCGAACACGACTGAGCAGCTCTCTCTCTCGTATGTGTGGCCCCTTTAGGTACAAAGTCTTATCACTGAGCAGCCGCTACACAGCATTACTGGGCAACTGCCAGACAGAAACTGTCGCACTCTTCATCTTTCTTTCCTATGAGAATATCTAATTTTGCCAAGAAATTTCTGCTAAGGTTCCCAGGAACCTCACAGTCAAGTGTTAGAACAGTTGGTCTTGTAAAAAGCCAACTCCCTTCAGGAAGCAATACAATTGTTGTTCAATGCTATTTCATGAAGGTTTAGCATTTTCTTCGCGTCTTCGAACCTTCCAGAAGCAAAGGACCACAGTACTTCCAGCCTGTGACACCCAGTCAGTGCTTCCCCAGAAGGCCAAGGTGGAAGCAGCTGGGCTAAGGGGCGGTTCTCTCCCAAGGGTGGCCAGGAGGGGCAAACGCAGAATCGACAGGGCTGAACAACAGGCCACGCCATGTCCCCAGCCACCCTCCTGTGAAGTCAGTCCTGGGAAGCCAGAGTCAAGCGGGGCCAACCCCAAAACACTCCAGGAGCTCAGCTAAAAGGTGCCCTTGGCACATGGGAGGGGACCCAAGGCCTCCTGGAGGCCACTGCCGCCATAGTGCTTACAATGGTGCCATCACCAGAGCTGGCACAGGGATGACAGGACCGCAAAGAAACATGTGGGTTTCAGAGAACAGCTGGGCCTGATCATGGCAACGGCAAGTGAACAGCACTGGGAACTCAGGGGAGACTGCCAAGGGGCAGGGTGGCACAGCCCAGGGGAGCCGAGTGGTAGGCACTCTGGACAGGCTGTGTTTGCACCTGGGTCATTACATCCCACATAACATCACAGGGTTTGCTCAGGAGCCCAAGCAGAAAGGGTGCTGATAAAGGGAAGCAGATGGGGGGGTTTCTGGGGCAGAGGATGCAGAAGCCCCAGGGCAGGGTGCCACGCAGAGCTGGCATTAACACCCTGCACCCTCCACCCTCGGGTCCACCTGCAGCAGCTTCGCCTCCTCTCCCTCCTGCAGGCCGCGCTCGGCACCTCCCGCTGGCACCTCCAAGGGCACTCTTCTTAGCTGGTCCCCGTGGGAAATGTGGGTGGAGGCTGAGGAGCGAGGAGGAGGGGGTGAAGATGCCCAGCTGACATCCAGGCACCGCACAGGGCACGGGCGGTGACCCACAGGCTGGAGTCTGGAGGGAAGGGACACACAGCACACCCAGCCCTCCCTTGGGCGTCTGCAGATTTCACCCCGAGGGCTGGCGCTCTCTCACCTAGACCTCACGGCTGCTAACGATGGCGGATCTGCTCAGGATTCTTCCTTCAACTCCAGAGCTCTACACATTTACCCAAAAATACCTGCTTAACCTCTGAAATGCTGAATGAAAACATTCCTGATAAGCGAAAAATATGCACACAAATAAACACAAATGAAAGAAACATGAGTGGCCTTAAGTAGCTTCCAGCCACTGTCCCTGCGACAAGTCCTCCAGGAACATGACGTGCCAGGCCAGGATCCCAGCATGTCTGGGTTCTGAGAGCACAGGGTCCACAGAGCCCGGCACCTACACTTAAGAATCGAGACGGCGCCACTGACTGCAGAGACAAGGCGGCGACACCTGAGCACTGGAGGGAAAGCAGTGGGAATTAGGAGCTCGCTCACAGATTTTCAGGGCTTTTATTGAACTTAGTATAAAACGATTTCCTAAACTTCGTATTTCATGTTCTAATGCACCATGGAAGAAATATTTTTAGCTAAAAGAGAAACAGTTTAAGATGGTTGTTGTATGATTAAGAAAGCAGCACACAGACTAATTCAATAAATCTAATTCCAAGAAAATACACACAAAGACCTTTGTTTCTCCAAAGATGTGCGGAGAAAGTAAGAGTCATCTGTCTGCTTTTTAAGGTGTCCATAAACTCTGCCTGGTACAACAGCCACGTAACTTACACTTCACCAGCCTCTTCCTGAGCGTCCACTGGACCAGGAAGACAGGCAGTCGTGGACCGAGTTCTCTGTATGAACAGCGTGGCCCGGGTGCCCAGGCTTGTCCAGGCGGTGACAGAGTCGTGTGGCCCCGGGCCGGCCACCTCCTGCCCTGATCCTCAGGTCTCAGCTGTGGAACAAGAGGCAGGACCAGGGCTCACCCAAGCGAGTGTGTGGTGTAGATGCCTGACCGATGGGCTCCCTCATTTGGAACCTCCAGGTCCGGCCCTCTGAGTAGCCCGCACTCTGCAAGCACACCACACTGCACACCAACTGAAGACGCAGCAGAGCAAGAGCACGGCGAGCAGGCAGGTCTTCCTCGTCCACGGGCCAAAGCTACGGATGCGGTCTGAGAGGCTCTTACCAAGGAACACTTATCTGAAGCTCATGACTGCACTGAGAAGCAGCCATTGTATTTCAGAGTGGGGGGTGCCTAGTCTTGGAAGCAGGAAGGTACGGTCACCTGGGAGCTGTGGGAACCAGCGCAAGTGTCTGCATGGTGAAGGAAGTGTTGACACCACCACCCCCCGCCCCCCGCCCAGCCCAGGAAAGCCCTCTTAAAAGGCTCTCCTCCCACCTTGCCTCTGCTCCCTTCCACTGCTGGTTCACAACTGCAGACTCAGCAGGCAAAGGGCAACCGATTTTGTCCCCGCTCCACTGCTGAGCTGGAGAGATCATCATACAGGAAGGCTTTTCCCACAAAATTTGGTCAGGATGAGGATGGAGAACCCAGAAAAGGCCCCCAACCTCATGAAGGATGTAACAACATCTTCCTGGTTTGGTCTCAGACTGGCCCACGGCCTTCAGTCTCACTCAGCTCCCAGTGACGCCTCCTGGCTGCCCCACTCAAGATGGGTTTGGCACGTGCGTCCCTTGGAGTCCTGACGCGTCCCTTTTTCTAACAATTCCTGTCTCAGCTCCAAGGCTCTGGTTTCCAGCCCCGATCTCGGCTCCCACACCCAGGGGCTCTGTCTGCCCAGCAGGATCACCAGCCTCACACCACCAGGCTGAGAGATGCAAGTCCCGCCCCCTTCTTGCCTCTTCTAGGATGTCAGGAGGTCCCCTAAGCTGGGACATGCCCCTCTCAGGAAGCTGTGAAGT